GGTGGGCACTGCAAACTTCAGCTACCACCACCGTCCTCCACTATCGTCGTCGCCACACCATCGTCGACGGGAAACCCGTGCTCGAACCAAAACATAATTAGCCTGCATTGTTAATGCATCAATATTTGCACGCTGTCCTGCCTTCCCGTCCCTGTGCGCGCTACGCGTTTTCCAATAAGCTCGCACTTTGTTGCGTCGATATTACGCGAATATCGCTGTTGATTCCCGCTATTGCTTTCTCTCCTGTCTCTTTCTCCCTCTTCCCCCCCCTGTCGATTGTACGGAATATACTATGTCCCCCTCCTCGTTGCGCGGTTCGCGCTTTACGACGTGTGCCCGCTCGACTCGGCTCGTTGTTCCGCCTCATGATGTAAACTTGATGCACAAACCTTCCTAAATTAATCGCAACTCGCCGACGTATGGTGCACGCCCGAACGTTTAATTCGCCACTGAATTTTGACCGGGCCAGAACGCTATTTGTCGATAACAATCGCGCGCCCGTAGCGATAATTTTGTTACTTTTGCGCAAAATTATGCCGACACAATGCTCCAACCTCGGCGCGAGATCGCCTGCCTTTTACAGAATCGCAAACAATTATCGTCGCGACTCGCATTACGAGCGATCCTTGCCCCCCGTATCGTCGTTATTTCCCGCGTCTGTCGGGTCGAAAACGTTACCCTCGAAACCGACTCGCGAGGCCTGACTATGCGGCTAAAAAGGACGCGCGGACGCGGAGGAACGAGGGTGTTGCACGCGCACGAGAAGACCCAACGTGTACACCGGATTTTCCCTACTTCGGCCTGTTCCGGTCGCTCGCGTGCCACAATTCTATCGTCCGCATCTGGATCTTCTCCTACGTTTCGTCGATCTTGACCCCGTAACCCGGATCCCGTTCCCCGAAGAACCTTACCGTTTTCGATGTACACCGAATTCGTTTCTAACAGGATTGGGTGTTTGTCTTCCGTGATACGCGTGGTCAGGGTGACGTCGAGATGCTCGGGGACGGGGTAAGATGGTCGCTGGACGACGCGTGCGTGGAAAAATCGTTAAGTCGGAATAAAAACGAAACGTCTCCGCGGGGGGAGAGGCGAGAGACAAGCTGCAAAGTCTGTCGGAAAGGGGGGCGTCGGGAGGAGGAGCTGGAAGGTAGAGGGTCTTCCGTTAGTTGATCGTCTTCCGGTGACTTCCGGTGGCCTCTAACGAGGGACAATGCTTCTGGTACACGGTGTGCACGCGGCGCACAACAATCGCGTCTCAAGTTCCTCGAGGCAGGAGGGCGGTGCTCCTGAGCTTCATAGAGAGTTCGCTCTCTCCTTTCCTCTCCTCTCTCGTTTCTTTCTTCTGCTCGACTACTTATGCCACATAACGTGGCTCTCAATGGCACATTAGAGGGCAGCGCGTTCGAAAGGCAGTCAAGGCGTGTGCGTACACAACGCGGAGAACCAACTCTCGACTCGAACACAAATTATAGACTCCCGGCACGACCGTTGAAGCGACTCCAGCCGACGTAGATTCACCAATCGCTATTTCGGGTACTCACGGACATACGTGCCCGGTTGCTAAGGGTACGCAACGCGCCATTCACGGACACGCACGTCTCTCGATCCTTTTCACCTTAGCGCTCGCGTATCGCGCTCGAATTATTCCTCTCCGTCTCCCTGACCCTCCCTCCTCCTTCCTTCTTCGCGCTTTCTTTCGCCCCTTCTTTCGCCGCCCTTTCGCGTCTTTGTCGAGAGACGCGCAAATCGCTTTGGGGTAGATCAAGAAGTCGACTGCGCGCGGACTCTTGGAAGACCACTCGAGCAGCAGCCGATTGTTTGATCGCATCGAGCGTTCGCTTCTTTCTTATTTCATTCTCCGCGTTAGCTACTTCTTTCTCTCCGCCGACCGTTAACGGTCGACCAATTCGGCTGACAACGAGTCTTCGTCCTTTCTCGTCTCGAACGCGACCCACCACGATCCCATCTCGAGAGTCTCTTCGACGTGCCACTCCAAACTTCGTCTATCCGATTTACATCTGCATAATGAGTCTTCCATTCGTATCGCGGCGCGTATCGAGCTACTTTCTTTGCAATATATATTGCAAATATATACTTTCTTTCGATTTTCTCGCGAAGAAATTCATTACGACGTATCCCGTAATTTTACGAGATAATTTTTCGTCGGAAAATCGTTAATCGAGTATCAACGAACGAGTAGCGGAGCTCGCTCGAGGAATTTCGCAGTTTATCGATAATCACGAGCGATCACGGGGAACAATGACCGAGCCGAGACTTCCCGTGTATCTTGTCGTAGCCGTTTTGACAGCGACAGGCGGTGACACGCCTGTAAAATTGCTTCTCCGATACAGCGAAAGTTGTCGGTTCGCCGGGCACACAGGAGACAATTTTCGGGGGTGTGAAAAATATTAATAACTCCGGTGTTGCAGTAAGGGACGAAGGGCTTCCGAGTAAGGGATGGCATAGAGTCGGAGGTTGAGGGGGTGGCTGGGTCAGAGGAGGGGGTGGCAAGTGTTTCTGTCAGTTTAATAGCTTCGCGCGCCTCCCCCCCTCCTTTTGCCCTACAGACTCACCCCACATGCGCACATTTTGCCACCGACATTACGGCATCGTCACTCTACGTGTCAGAAGTTGCGCTAGACCTAGAACCTCTGCTTAGATCTGATAACCCTTTGATACTCCCGTTATTTATTACCCCTCCGCCGACGCCATCATCGACAAAGAAGACTTCCCACGTCCAACGTCCTCGAATCGATCACCCTCTTCTCTCTCTCTCTCTCTCTCTCTCTCTCTCTCTCGGTGCGCACACGAATAGGGAATATATCGTGTACGCAGGATTCCAGGCATATTTCGTTATCGCGTTCGATTCGACCGACCGATCGATCCGTACCCCGATATCTATCTCGGCAAAGAGAAAAAGAAAAGGAAAATAAATAAACGCGTGGCGTAATAGAAAAGAAAGGGTTGATTAAAAGGAAGGTGACCTTGCTCGGCGAGATTCGTATCGAAGGATCCGAGTCACATCTTTGATTCGCTTTCGTAGTCGGGGTCGCATTTATCACGAGCCGGGGTATATAAAGAGCGCGCGAATTCGTGAACAAGGCTCTGGAAGGTAGGCGAAGGAGGTGATATCTACATCGGGGGTTGCGGGAGGGAGGGTAGACATTTTTATGCCGGTGTAAATCAAGCCTCCCGGCCAAATATTGCGCGGACGACGTTCGCGCGGAATGAGCGAAGGGTACCGCCATAGCCGGCCATAAAGAATGATATAACTGCACGCGACACATGTCTTCCTGCCTGCGGAACGCACTCATATCGCCTCGGCGACCTTCTTTCTCGCCGATTTTCGCGGGAAATGAAGATTTGTTGCGACATCCTTTCGCCCCGCCATTCATTTTCACCAACGTTCCCCCCACGGCACTCGGTTGCGCGCCGGATTTAAATCGTTGCAATCGCAACGCCGCGCGAGGAACGACGCGAAAGAATAACCGACATGGAACTTTTTGCACGACGAGCAACGGAATTTTCTTTCACGCCCTGGTCTCGTAGACGCTGGCAACGGAGCTGCAACGGCCTTCGAGTAGTTTCGGTTACACGTTTCCGTTAAGCGGAGAAGTTATTCAAAGGCTAGCAGCGAAAGAGTGCGGAAAAAACGAACAGGCAGGCTGACGTTTTTCGAAATTCTACTCCTTCGATCGACTTACGAGTCAATCTGTCCGTGGTACAGACCGCAACGTATTGTGCGCGGTGGTTGTGAAAAAAATTTAGACAGCCGCGTGACAGCTACTTTCCGAAGAAAAAGGTGACCGAGGCTGTCCAATAAAGACTTCGATAGGTGTTCCACTGACCCTGACTCTGCGTGAGGTCCTCTCCAACCTCCACGCGCTAGCCGGCATTCTTCGATCGAGGGTCCGCGCGATGGAAAAAATTTCTTCGCACGCTGACATCTGACCCTTGGTCGTTAACCGATCGAAAATTCCCGCTTTGCTCGTTACGAAACGACGAGGAAATTTCCTCCCTCCGAAAAGGAATTGAAAAAGGAAAATACGAAAGGGGAAAGAAATTTACAATCGAAATTTTGCACAACATCGCGTAGAACGCAGTGGAAAAAATTCAATTCTTTCGTCTGGATAAAATAGCCGTGAAAAAATTGTACGGTTTGGTTTTGCCGGGAAAAGAGGAAAAGAGGGAAGTAACGTTATCGTACGTGCGACGGATTAATCGATAGAAATCGTGTCCTATAAGAAACTATGAATCGCGCGACGAAAGGCCAGTCGGTGTTTAATGTTCGAAGCAGCAGCGTGTCTCTTTCGTTATCAGAGTCACGTTTTCTGATTCTTGCCCACCCCCTCCCAGAGGCGGCGGTCTCTCAGGCTCACTCAACAGCGATAGCTCGCTCCTCTACTCTCCAGCGTATACCTTCGCCTCTTCTCTCGCTCTCGTTCTCTTCCTCGCTCTCTCGAGGGATGCTGTGGTGAACTGGTGGGGATCTGAATGCGATAGGGGTTGCTCCGCCCGTGGGCCAACCAGAGGTCTCGATGGAAGCGGCTCCGCCACACCCCGTGGATCGTCCCTGGCTTCCCTCGGGAACCCTCGTTGTGCCATCCTCTTCTCAACAGATTTCGGATCCTCTAGTCTGCCAAGAGCCAGCTGACACGGAGCAGCGCTCTTCTCGTCATCCGTTTCTTATTTCGATCGTGTCTTCACCGGCCAACACGCCTTCCGGCCGGACGCGTTCCACCTCGGGCTACCCCCTGCGAGCATCTCAACCCCCCCGCCGCCCAAGCTGTGCGTCTACTTGCTCTGCCGTTATCGCAGCTACCAACGATCATGCGTATCGATCGGTCGATCGTGAAAGCCACTGGCCAGCAAACTCGCGCGACTCTTTCATCCGTTGGATTGTGTTAATGACGTGTCATCGTGAGACTCTTTGGTGATAGTATGTGTGACAGACAGTGAATTTTCCGCTAACCGGGATCCGGACGGTTCGATCGGCGCTAATGAACGGTCTCGATCTGTCTCGACCCATGGTCGACTACAACAAGATGAACGGTAAGTTTCGAAAAGTTTACGTGCCCCTTCGAGTTGGGTTAGGTAGCCTCGATTAGGATCTATTCGCGAAATCTATTCGCGACCGTGCGGATCGATCGCTTCGCTCATAACGTAGGAACAAATGAAATTCTTTCGTAGACAAACAATAGTGAAGTGCGTCGATAAAACGAGACTATTTATGCTTCGCGTTACACTTGAGAAAATAACAACGAACCGCTAGATTTATATTCAGCGAATGCTATTTTTATCACGTTCGCGTACGATTAGATAGAATCGCCTAATCGTTCCGATTATTCCCGGCGTTATCATCGTACGATGTGAAATATCGCTTGGAAATTCTCGTCGATTCTCCGCGAATCGGCTGCTCCGTTTTCCATCCGTAACAGGCCGACGTTTATTTCATTCGAGCTGTCGAGGAAAGACGTTATATTTGTGGGTATCGACAGGAGGAAACTCGACCACAGCCTGTCCGGAAGCTGGTCTGCAGAGATTCGTTCTTGTATCTAATTCGGTTTGCCATCTACTCGTAATTCCGGGACGAGTTGATACCTTATCAGCGATGTAAAGATCCTTGCCATAGGACTCCGATGTCTCGTTAATTGTTCTGTACCACGGTCGCATTTCGATCAACTTTAACCCCTGTTTTCACTGGAAACGGGGTTCGCGAGCGAACGGTGACCAATGAAAACTCTTTGATCGCAAAGGGGAATCGTTTTCATCCGCGGTACGCGTTAATGGGTGCAGTTTCCTTGTCCATCAGGATCCCCGTATCGCCAGGACGTCCTGTGCGGTCACAGCAATGCGGTCTACGCGCGTGTGAATACATTTCACGATGCAATCG